TATCTTACGGTAGGTTTACTGTCTGGAATTTGAAATTTTGAAATCTGATCGATTTTATTTCGACTGCTCTAAGCATAATCAAAGGCACCAGGTTCTGTCATGCTTGTATTAGTCGGTGCGCCATCATGGGCTTAGCTGATTAATTGGACAACCACCGCAAGTGTTATAAGGTTGTAAAAAAACTGGCTTGAAAAAACTGCGACGTTTTTCGTATGTATCGTAATATAACTTACATTATATTTTGCATCGTAATATAACTTAAGTTATAGCTTTTTTTGGATACCAATGTCCAACTTCATTTGCACATCAAAATGAAATGGAGAAACGTGAGAACGACGCTAAATACGTGAAAGTTATGTAATGTAGGAATGCGCTGGTCGAAGGCTGTATGAGTTATACTGGGCGATGAAGCAGCAGATGGAAAAAGGCCCGCAGGATGCAATAACACTCGAAGCACGATATTCATTATCGGAAGAGAAACTGTTGCGGGCATCATTTGATTTTCGGGAACTGACAGTCTTCGTTGCGGCTGATCATCATTCTGCTGGTGCTATGGAGTATCCAGTTAGGGTGCTCGATTGCGATTCCATAACACAGGTGAAGCCAGTTCAATTCAAATAACTACTACTTTTTACCTACCAAATAAATCGACCACTGACTGACTGTATGAAGTTGATTGAATTATTGCTTGAGAAGCGTAGCGGGGATCTCATCTGAAAAAATTATTACCATGTTGAGAAGCATCCTCCTAATGAGCCTAATAATCATGTATTTTTTTGTTGACCGAATTTTGAGAATAGAAAGGAAGAACGGTAATCTTCATCCCTAGCTGTGTTAGCCTAGGGATGAAGATTACTGTTCTTCACTTGGCCTTTTTGGTACTGCAACACTTTCTTGAAAAATTTGCAAAGAGAAAATTTCTCTTCTGAAAGTACGGTTAGTTTTTTGAGGAAAGGGCAGGAATGGGTCTGGAAACTGCAAAGGAAGAGCCGATCCTCACTGTTGAAATATTTTTGAGAATAACTAGTGTAGCAGTGCATTTGTGTATATATTTCGTATTACCTACACTGCCATAATCTTTACTGCAGGTGAAGGAGAAATGTCTGGATGCCAAATATCGCACAACTGCTTTTTCGGACCGTCCTTCAGTGAATGATCTTGATTTGGAATTACGTTCGGCATGCCCGAGAATTATTCTTCAAGATATTGATAGTACTTCGAAGGTCGAAGCTGGTGGCTGGAAAAGGATCAATACCCTTGCGCACTACAGTGTATTTAATTTTGCACTAGACTTTTCTCAGCAGCTATTTTAGCATTTACCGAATCAGCATATGTTAGATCTTTCGGCTCCAAAGCAAGTAGATTTTTTTGGACGCTTTTTTTGTGCGGAACACAAAACTGATTTGTCAAAAGGTAAATGGAAGTTTTATTTTCCATGCATAAATTTTCGTGATTTTATAGGTTCCAAACAATGCTACATTAGCGTTACTTCCGCGCCAGGCATCCCTCTACAACCTGTCTTTGTTGAGTGAGCGCAGCGAGCGTTCAACATTTTCGTTGCCGAAACAAAGCCCCACGCTTGTAAGGCCATTCGGGACCAACTCAAGCTCGCAATGCAAAGGTTTGCTATCAAGTTAGTATTTTCTGTTTTTATGCATTTTTGCATCATTG